TGACCTATGTGGCAAGCAGCGGTAAAAAATCCCTGGGATTTTCCTTTAAAGAATCCAACAACCCCGGTTGTCACAAGAGTATTGATTCTTTAGTGACCTGCTTGGTGCAGTTTGCTAGGAGTCTCACCTTTTATAAAAAATGGTTTTTGATTCTTTAGAGAACCTTGTTTTGGAAGCATATATGATCCTTTTTTGACCCTTCATGGACCGTGTCAGCTTTTGAAGCGCTTGCCAAAACATGGCTCAAAAAGTGCAACGAAAAATGACATTAGAAAACATAAGAGCATCAAATCGCAAATTTTAAATATCGGTGCATGCAATAACTTCGTTCTACATTTTACTGGGTATAAAAAGATAAATACATCAACATGTGACGGGCCACCTGATGGCTTTGCGATTCCCAAATGAAATACGCTTCAACCCTTTTGATCCCTTATGAAATATTTAAGTAAAACATGTTAGCATCATGCGGCAATAGAAAAGCAGAGAGGATTTAAGTGCAGGTCTCATATGCCAAACCTCCCTAAGCCCAATATCGTCAGGCAGTTGCCTCCAGATCCATCAAAAACCACAATGTTGGGAGGCACCTGATTCGTTAACTGACCAAATTTCATGGAGGCTACACGGGCCAGAAAAGAAGGACATTGCAGATATTTTCAAAAATCAAGATATTACAAAACATTCCGACACAATTCAACATAGAACAAAACAGTAGAAATTTCAAAACACCTTACAGAATACTTCGAAAACATTCCAAAAAGTTTGGGGCTAACAACTATTAGTAAACAAACAATAAGGATAGAATCCTGGGGAACCACCCAAAACCCCAAAACCATTTCAGAGACTTTTAAAGGGGCAACAGTTCAGTGCCCAGCTAGGGTTGTCTGATTCTTTAAGGACTTATTCATGTACCCTCCACTGGGTGTTTGATTCTTTAGGGATTCATTTTGTAGCCCCAGGGCGTCCCTCTAAAGAATCAGACAGCCCAAGTGGGGCACTGAACTCAGAGGAGGGGGATCTAAAAAATACGTTCATTATCTTTTATCCGTATAAAGCGCCTGTGTGCGAACAATGCGTTCATACCATGAACATGCAAGATTTGGAAGCAAAAAATTGATTCCCAAATAAGAACAAACAATTCAAGGAACAAAATGACGATACAAGGCGGACAGTATCACAGGCCTGAAAAAAAAAGAGAAACATAAAAGCAGAAAAATTGAAGCTCTTGTGCATTTACACCTGCTCGATTCTACCCTACTGATTCCACTTATAATAACACACCTCGAATATTAGTCGCAGGCCTGGTAGTATCTTGCTGCACAGAAAATCCTTTCCACGTAGTCTGCCACAGCTTTCATGCTTCTTAAGGTGTAACAGTAATAGCTTAGCGTTTTGGAAAAAAGACCTGCTAAATCACTCTGGAATGCTTTGTGCAAACCACCTGCAATGTATTTCTGCTGCATCATCATCTACATGTTCGATGAGGGCCATGTGCCATTGAAAACAGCTTCCTCGCTCCTCATCAGAATCACTAGCCTCATCGTCTCATATTGACACTGATAATATCTATTTTCAATGGAAACATTTGCAACATATACTGTATCATATATACTAGAAACGCCCACACTACAGTACTGAGTTGCTTTATACATTTGCTTCGCGGCCATTCCCAACCCCAAAAAAGTCCCGCAGACTGTCTAGGGGTGTCCCTATTTGGGGCTGCAGAGCATACATAACTATTCATAATTATATATACACAATATACAACATGACATTATCATACATTATCCATGTGTTCCAATTCTTATGAAACATGCAGCCGTTTTCAACTACATTGTGAGCCCTGTGTACCTTCGAATTCTTAAGGTCTCTCCGAATCCCTCTTCCGGTTTTTGCCGCTGGTGTTGCCAATTTGGACAGCTTGGAGCCAAGCTGCTGCTTTCAGCTGCTTTCAGCTGTTGCTTTTGTCCAACTCATGAGACTCATGTGGCAAGTCTCGAAACAAAACTTTTCAAACACGTGCATCGTTTCGTCGAAATCGCTGTGATGTTTTTTTTTCATTTTTTCTATATATTTCTTTTTTTTCCGAGTTGTCTCCATTTTTGTCCTGTTTGTGTTTCATTCAACATTTTGATACATTTTGTTGTTTATGTTTGCTGTTTCAGCTGTGCGTGATTTCTTCAGAGATTCTGCGAGGTGCTTTTGCTGTACAGCTTTTACAAGAACCGAAGTATTGACCGTGTTTCTCCAGCTCCACGCCTCAGCGAATCACACTTTGCACATTGCACGTTGTGTTTCAAACTTTCCTGCAGTGATCCAGTATGATCCAGTGGTTTGCGATTTGAATTCAATCTCATAATTGCCTTCGGCAAGCCCGGCGATAGCAGGTTGGGGAAGTAGGCTTGAAAGTTGGGGGGTGAGGCCCTAATTGAAACATCTGAGTTGGTTCTGTTTTTGGTGAAGAATCTGGTAGGTGCAAATGCTTGTTGGCGTGAAAACTAGTTGGTGTAAATATTGTAAGTGCGGGTTGGTACTGTAAAGGCTGGTTGCTGATGGTTGGTGTATACAAGCCTGTTTGTGTGAGATTTTACTATCCTTTTTTTTCTGTAAAAAATTGTAGAAGCAGGTGTTGTGCAAAAGCTTCTTGTGTAAAAACCAGTAGGCGTAAAAATCACCTGGTGCCAGAGTTGCAATGCATAAACATTGGTAAACATTCCTCGGAGTACAGTTTGGAGAGAGAGGACGAAGAAAGAACACAGGCTTCCGGGGACCTGAGAGGAATTAAACCTTCGACCCTTCGACCTTCACAATCTTTGCCCAATCGGAGGTGAGTCGCATAGTGGTGATGACGGTGATGAAGATGTGAAGGGGGAGGGCGGGGACACGATATAGACGGGCCAAGAACAGAAACCAATCAGACATGGCAGGCCGGCGGATTCCCAACAGCAGTGCTTGTTGGGATTCAATCTGTTCTGGGACTGGTGCATCGTAAAACCGAAATGGAACCCTGGAACTCTCGAATCTGCAATCTTTACGCTGGGTTGATTTGTACCAAGACGGCGGTCGCCACTGCGGTTGTGATGTTTTTGCTTGGGTCGCTAGAGCGCTAATCTGCGGGAACTGATGGTCCGTGCTGTGTTGTGTAGAGCGAGTTTGTTCAGTGCAAAGCAGATGCAACTGATACAACGTTGTGTTGACAGTGTTGGTCAGTTCGCTTTAAAGAGGCAGAAACCGGGTGTAAAGTGCAGCAAATCCCAAGATCCCGGTCTGTGACTATCGAAAGGAATCTGGCGAATGTTTGCATGGCACCACTGACAGTTTCTACATGTTTCTACCTGCGCTTTATGCCGAGGCTGAAAGTGTCTTCTGGGATGAACATGGCCGCGCTTGGGCGCGTGATGCCTATGGAAGGTGCGCTCTTAAGCTGGATCCATAGGCCATAGGCATCGAGCGCAAAGCAAAGCAAGGTGGAGATGCTCATCCATCCCACGAGCATTTCCGAAGCGGATGAACAGAAAGATGGTGTAGATTGGTGTAGTACGATCAAAATGAACACCAGTACATGGTGCGCAACATCTGCAAACATGGATAATTTGTCCAGATCCAACGTTCGGGATTTTGTCCCTGAGAAGCATCGTCGTAGAAATCGCGCAATACCTGCTACACTTACATGTTTAGGCCCAGACCTCATGCTTTCAGGATATGGTGTTTTAGGATTCAGGGTCTCTAAATGCAGGTGCGGGGGATACGGTTTGAAAAGCAAGATCTTCAATATAGGCTCCTTGCAGGCATTGCAGCATCGCAAGGAGCAAGAATCTAACCGACAGCTGGTATCAGCTGGTTGGTTTTCTTGAACACGAAATATAAATAGGATTCAGCTCATAAGACGAAGGTGCTGCTGTCAGTGCCAAGAGTACCAAGCGCAAGAAATTTGCTGGAGTCCCTGGATGCTTTTGGCAGTTGTTTGGATTTGCAGCCTTGTTTGCAGTGGCATTGTGTTGTGATCATGATTAGTCTTACTTCACGATTTTTGGATATGCTTGATATGTAAGACTAAGTAGGTGCATCATGTAGCAGCATCCTCTCGCAGCCCGGTCCCACTTCTCAACTGCCACACCTTACGTGGTAATGCCCGCTGTCACCCTTATCCCCAACCTCAAACCTCACACTAACAAACAGGTACAACAGCATGCAGTTCATTGTCATGTAGATGAACTGAATCGATGAAAGTGGTTTGTGCCGTGAAACGTTTTACAGGATTTGCCCCAATGTCCTTGCTTGGGTCGCAGGTTCCATCGAATGCCTGATTTGGATCGTCAAGTCATATCACAAGCTGCAAGATGAAATAGTCAACCCGCAGCAAGCGTCAATCGGAACGTTTGGACGTCAACCTCGGAATGCCGTGCAACTTCTTGATGCTGCAGTGTAGGAGCATAGAAAAGGTCAAGAGACTGGAGCGGGTTCAATATTTTTGGACGGTTTGATATTTTTTCGTTTTTTTCCCTGGTCGGATCAGAAGTTGCATTTTTTTTTTCCGAGATTTGGAACAGATCGGATTTGGATCCGTGTTTGGATCGATCCGCGGAGTGTAGGAAGGGATTGCGCAGGATAATCCACTGCAATCAGACAACGAACGCAATGGCACAACCACTTGAGTTACTCGTATCCTGGCATTACCCTTTATCTTTCTAAGCGTTAGGTGAAACCAAAGCAAAGATATTTTGCTGTCGAGGCGCGTAGAAAGTGTCTGAGCGATCAATGTGAGCCTGGAAAGTTTGAAAACGAAAGACTCCACTACGCTCAGAATACTGAAACCATGTTTGCGGGTCATGCCAGTGTATGAGCCGGGTCGTGCTTCACGAATTTGATCCGGCAGGTTGTATTTCCAGCGTAATTATGTGGATTTAGTTCGTGTATTTGACCATAAGTAGCTTAATTTCCCTGTCTTTGTCTTTGCAGATCTGCACAGTCTTTCTGTGCACAGTCTTTCTTTGTTCAAAGTTGTGCACGCGTAGTGCACGTCCCACGGTGCCACGGGCCGCGACAACGGGCCGCCGGAACAATGGAGCGCGAGCACAGGCCGCTTGCTCTAAGCCGCTCGGCGCAGGAAGCTCCTGGATTTACCCATTGACCGACCAGTGAAATTAAGGTGACTAAGGTGACTAAGGTGACTGACCAGTGAAAGAATTGTGAAAGAACTGTATTTAGATGTATTTAATTTAGTATCTTACTGACCAGTCCAAGTGAATTTTATTGAGGTATTTCTTGCATGCCATGGTCTTTGAGTCTTTGAGATGGCACCAGCATTTGCAGGATCGAAGATAAGATGTGTCAGCAGTTAGCAGGATCATTTCTTTCCAACGCAAAGCGACTAACGCAGATGATTTCCACTGTGCATGCTTTGGAATGCAATCCAACATCTCACAATCTCTTCAGAGACCGCAGGACCCTCGCAGAGACTCTCACAAACATCGATTGCCCAATCGCACCAAGGAACAGCTTCTGGCCCAGTGGATCTCCGACCACCGCGGCAGGCGTTTGTAGTTTGTCCCATTTGATGTTGTCGTTTGTAGTTGTTGAAGACGTAATGATTTTTGGCGTTGTGGACTGCGTGTTCTCGAGCGGAAGGAAAGGCGCATCACGACAAATGAGGGAGCCTCTGCAAGAACAATAAAGAAGGACTTCCGTTGCTGGTTGTCAGATTGGATCTCACATTCGTTCACCATATTTTAGAGTGCCGGATCCTGTGTGCAAAAGAAAACTGTGAGATGTGCCTTTCATTGAGACACTAGACGACTTGAGGTAGACAGTTCCGCACAAAGCAAAGCTGGACATTGGATTTGTTGCTTTTTGAGTTCTGAAAGCTGAAATGGGATGTACCCGATGTAGCATCATGCATCCTTTGGAATACTCGAGAAACATAAAACCAATGCCTTGCTGTGATCCCTCAGCCTTGATTTCTCGGGGCGTTTTGTTGGGGCGTTGCCGCTTGCAGTCGCCTTGTCGCCTTGTCGCCTTGTCGCCTTGTCGCCTTGTCGCCTTGTCGCCTTGCAGGGCTGGTTGAAAGACACCCAAGGCGATGCTTCGTACCAAAAAGCTGTCAAGCAGGCGACTGACTTCGACTTGCAAGAGAACAAGTTAAAGTATGCATACTTAATGTTTAATTGTATTGTTTATTAAATTATTTAATTGTATTTAATTGTTATGCATACCGTATGGGTTACCAATTGCATTGTCCGACAATTATGCAGACATATGCAGACCATGGAATAGGTCACAAAATATTGAGATTATCGACATTGATCCGGAGCAGGTGACTTAGTACTCTGGACTGGTTTTCCTTCTCATAGGTGTAGTTCTTGCTGTTGACGCACACCTGCACACTTGCTCAGACGTCTTATCGAATTGTGATGTAGAATGCAACGGTCCTGCAAAAACACGATGAGATGAACCTATATGTATATAATGATCGAAGGAAGTTTAGAAGTCAAACTTCCGACAATACGGACAGATGAAAAGTAGAGCAGGGAAGAGGCAGAGAGAAGAGAAAGATTAGAAGAAAGAAGAGTAGAAGAGAAAGAGTAAGAAGAAAGAAGATGCAGATGCGTGAAAAGGTAGGAAAGTCGCGAAGCACTGTGTTTTTCCAATGATTTGGGGCTCCGGGGGGTCGAAAAGTAGGCTCGCTAAAGCGGCGGGTGCGGAGCCAGCTGGCCAGATGAGAGATGAAAAATTGCACCCCGTTGTGGCGCGAAGCACATTTCGAAGTCAAAATGCACAAAGCACCTCAGCGTCGGACCACTTTTGGCAGTTGAGATGTCGAAAAAGTGCACGCCGTTGTGGCGCGAAGCACATTTCGAAGTCAAAATGCACAAAGCACACCGGGTCCGGACCACTTTTGGCAGTTGAGATGTTGAAAAAGTGCACGCCGTTGTGGCGCGAAGCACATTTCGAAGTCAAAATGTTAAAAACACCAGGGGTTCGGACCACTTTTGGAGGTTCGGATGTCGAAAAAGTGCACGCCGTTGTGGCGCGAAGGACATTTCCAAGTAAAAATGTTCAAAACACTAGGGGTTCGGACCACTTTTGGAGGTTCAGATGTCGCTTCGCTTCAATACACTACACAACAGGACATTACACTACACTGCACTCCAATACACTACATTACACTACACTACGCTCCAGTACACTCCACTACACTAAATTACACTACACCACGCTACATTACACTGAATGACACTGCAACACAGATAGACAGGTAGACAGCTAGACACATAGACAGATGAAAGGGAGAGATAGACAGATAGGTAGGTAGATAGATAGATAGATAGGTAATTAGATGAAAGAGAGAGAGAGAGGCCAGCTGGGTAGATGAGATAGATAGATAGACAGATAGACAGACAGACAGACAGATAGATAGACAGATAGATAGATAGATAGATCGATAGTTAGATAGATAGACAGACAGACAGATAGATAGATAGATGGATAGATAGATAGATAGACAGACAGATAGATAGATAGATAGACAGATAGAGAGGTAGATAGATAGATAGATAGATAGATAGATAGATAGATAGATAGATAGATAGATAGATAGATAGATAGATAGGTCGATAGAAAGAAAGAAAGATAGATAGATAGATAGATAGAGAGATAGAGAGATAGGGAGATAGATAGACAGACAGACAGATAGATAGGTAGACAGATAGATCAGTAGGTAGGTCGGTAGATAATCAGAGAAAGATAGAGAAACAGAGAGAAAAAGAGAGAGAGAAAGAGAGGAGACTTCAACCACCTTTCAGTCCATCAGTGGCTTCGCTCTGCCATCCCGGATTCACAACAACCAAGCTCTCCTATAGGTTTCCTATTTTTGAAACTTCCGCCACCGCCTTGTGCGGTACTACTGGTATATAATCACAGGAGACAATGGCAATATAAAGCAACAGCGATAACGTATATGTCCCCCCCAGCTGCGGCTTAAATGCGCCCAGGAGCGGGGCTATATTATATATGCAGGTACAAGAGTTTGCGTCCACACTCCCTTCCGGCTGAATCCCATAGCTTCGTTGGCATGGCTAGGGAAGCAGCTGCCATGCCCCCCTGCAGTAAAAGGAAGTTTTACATCTACACAGATGGTTCACACACACACAAACATGCGACCATGCAAATCTCATGCCAGCATTTACCTTTTGTGCATGGACGTGCAAGTTGAGACACTGGTCCAGACGACGCGTAGCTAGACAATGGCTCATAGAATCTCATAGATGTTTGTGCTGGTTTTGCTGCTTTGTTCAGAGCGCACACGCAACTGTGCTGGGGTGGGGAAGTCGCATTCATGTGAAGTTGCGCACGCAACGTAATGTCATGCTGGAAGTGGGGTGGCGGGCCAAACATAGAGCCAAAAGATGCTACCAGCTCTTACGTTAGTTTCTTCCACTATTCACTTTCGTCCACCCCTTCTCAAGTGTTTCCCCAGATAATTGTGTGGGGTTCTTGCGTTTATATTGTGCACTCCCGCCTACAACCGTCCGCCCGCCCACCCGCCTCTGCGTAACTCATCAACACAACTCTTTCACACACAACCCTCTCACACACAACTCTTTCACAGACACACACACACAACTCCTTCACACACAACCCTCTCACACACAACTCTTTCATGCACAACTCTGTCACACACACACAACTCTGTCACACACAACTCCTTCACGCACAACCCTCTCACACACAACTCTTTCATACACAACTCTGTCACACACACACAACTCTGTCACACACAACTCTTTCACACACTCACACACAACTTTGTCACACACACACACAACTCTGTCACACACAACTCTTTCACACACACACAACTTTGTCACACACACACAACTCTGTCACGCACAACGACTCTCTCACACGCAACTCTGTCACACACGACTCTTTCACACACAACTCTGTCACACACAACCCTCTCACACACACAACTTTGTAACACACAACTCTTTCACACACACACAGGTCTTTCACACACACACACACAACTTTGTCACACACAACTCTTTCACACACACAGCTCTTTCACACGCAACCCTCTCACCCACAGCTCTTCTCACGCACAACTCTTTCCCACACACGCTAGTATGTGACACACAACTCTGTCGCACACAGCTCTTTCACAGACAACTTTGTCACACAGAACTCTTTTACACACAGCTCTTTCACACACACACACGCAACTCTTTCACACACTACTTGGCACACAAACACACACACACACAACTCTGTTACACACAACTCTCCCACACACAACTTTGCCGCACACACACGCACGCAACTCCCTCACGCACAACTCTTTCACACACAACTCTGTCACACAGAGCTCTTTCAAACGCAACTCTGTCACACACACACAACTTTGTCACACACAACTCTTTCACACACAGCTCTTTCACACACACACAACTTTGTCACACACACACACGCAACTCTGTCACGCACAACTCTGTCACACACAACTCTTTCACACGCAGCTCTTTCACACACAACTCTGTCACACACAACTCTCTCACACACAGCTCTTCTCACACACAGCTCTTTTACACACACAACTCTGCCACACACAGCTCTTCTCACACACACAGCTCTTTCACACACAACTCTGTGACACACACAACCCTCTCACACACAGCTCTTCTCACACACAGCTCTCTCACACACGGCTCTTCTCACACACAGCTTTTTTACACACAACTCTGCCACACACAGCTCTTCTCACACACACAGCTCTTTCACACACAACTCTGTGACACACACAACCCTCTCACACACAGCTCTTCTCACACACAGCTCTTTCACACACAACTCTGTCACACACAGCTCTCTCACACACAGCTCTTCTCACACACAGCTCTTTTACACACACAACTTTGTCACACACAGCTCTTTCACACACAACTCTGTCACACACAACTCTGCCACACACAGCTCTTCTCACACACAGCTCTTTTACACACACACACAACTCTGTCACACACAACTCTGTCACACACACAGCTCTTTCACACACAACTCTGTCACACACAACTCTTTCACACACAGCTCTTTCACACACAACTCTGTCACACACACACAGCTCTGTCACACACACACAACTCTGTCACACACACAACTCTCTCACACACAGCTCTTCTCACACACAGCTCTTTCACACACAACTCTTTCACAAAACGCTTGCACGCACAACTCTTCCACAAGCAACTCTTTTACGTTCAGCTCTGTCCCCGCAACTCTTTCAAACACAGCTTTTTTCCCACACACGTCTTCCACATACAATTCTTTCACACCCACCTCTTTAACACAGAACTTTTTTACGCACACACACACACACGCATTCACAACTTTTCCCACGCAACTTTTTCGCGAACATCTCTTTTACAGGCAACTCTTTTACGCACACTTCTTTCACACGCAACTCTTCGACTAACAACTCTTTCACATACACCACTTTCACGCACCTCTCTTCCACACACACACATACACCTCTTTCACACGCAACTCTTCACACACCATCGTTTCACACGCGCCTTTTTGAAAATAATCGATTTTCCACCATCTTCTTTGTCCTTCCTGCTTCAACCCCTGCTTGTAATTGTTGGAAAGAAATTGATTTGTGGGGTTATCCGGCCCTTTAATTCTTGCACGTTTAAAAGAAGTGGCTCGTTGTTGATCTATTCCACAGGCAGCTGTGAACGGTGGATAGGAAGCTGTTGGTTTGGTGCGTTCAAATGCAGCGTTTTTTGGTGGGTATGAGAAATCTTTCTCTGTCTTGTTGTTTGGAAACTAGACAGTTATGGTTGACAGATCATGTGAAACCTTCCAGGGGGCAAACTTTCCATCTGAAACGGCACAATTTGAACACTTCTCTACTTTGGTTTTGGTGTAACATCATAACGGAATGAACATGCTTTGTTCTCCACCTTGTTCTGCCCGCGTAGGCCATGATGATCGCGGCGGAGGAGCTTCGGTTGATGGACGCCAAAGAGGTGTCCGCGTCCGCCTACTCCAAACCCGAGATAGAAGAGATCCAGGAGCGGCCGAGCGGCCGAGCGGCCATGGAGATCTCGGAGAGATCTTGGGAGATCTCGGTTGAGATGTGGAGATCGGGCTGTACCGTTCTCGTGGATCGTGCATGCGCCGGGGTTTGGAAGCATTTGTTGACATGGTATTCGGGTATCCAACAACATGCAACAACTAGATTTCACATGTCAATGTTCAGGCTAAACCATCCCATAGAGCATGGAGCTAGAACAGACAGAGGCAAAGAAGGAGATGGGACGTATACAGCGATATGGGAAGGGGTACGCCTTGATGATGCCATGGCATGCGGCCATGTGGCTGCGCCATGGAGCGCTGGTCACTGAGAGTCAAATCAATTCAATTGGGAGAGAGACATTCCGGAGCCGGACGCCGCCAGCAAATGAAGGGAGACAAGTGAACCGGGAGACAAGTGAAGATACCAGCCAGACAGGGAGACAAATGAAGGGAGAATGAGTGGGGAGACAGGGAGAGAGATGAATTGGGAGACATCCAAAGTTCCGGACATCGTGAGGCAGACTCGGAGACAAATGCAGGGAGACAAGTGAGGCCAGACAGCCGGAGAGCCGGACACCACCAGCCATACTGGGAGACAAATGAATTGGAGACACCCGGAGAGCCGGGCACCACCACCTGGAAAGAGCCGGACACCTCCTAAGAAAGAATAAAGAACCCCGACGGTAAACTGTTTGGTTTAGGGAAATACATGAACAATGTCTGAATTGAGTATATTGAGTGATTCTCATGGGCTCCCCTTATCTCCCGTTTCATAGCCAGGAACGGATCTCAAGGCTGCAGGCCGGCAATGCCAGATTCCCAATATCAGGCCGGAGCTCGGGAAGTGGAGAATGAACAGTCGGAACCAACATGAATCGCAGCACTCATAGTACGACTCTTTTCATCTCTCTTCTATGTTCTATGATTCGGAGGTTTGAAACACATGATGCAGTCCAGTTCCGCGGCCAATCTAGAATCTAGAAAAAACTTGCTTTTGCCTTCGGTGGTGTCTCCATGTGTGGCAGGCACGAAGAAAAAGAAACTACAAAATGTAACGCAACACCGAGGAGACAGGAAAAGAACCTTGGCGAAGAGCCAGTGTACCAGATCCAAAACCCAACGCACTAAACGGGGCGATCACAAAAGAATTTGGGCTTACCCAATCGGCATGATTTATGCGATGTAGGCAGACAGAACAGGTAGTTGGAAGGTCAAGGCAGGGGTGCAAGCTGCTGTACTTGAGCGGTGCAGTCATTGGAACTTTGGTTTAATTCCAGAGCACGGGGTAGGAAACTGAATGTTTGATTGGGGAAAGGTGCCACATGATGGCAAGTCGCCATGGTGATCTGGAATAGTTTGAAGATACATGACACATGACATTACATGACCAAGGAGAGACTTTGATGAAGATTTCCAGAAAGCGCCCCTGCTGTTCGAGGCAGATGCTGTTTTCGGGGCTAGCAGGCGTCGTTTTAGCTGTTGTAAAAACCGGTGCAATGCCGTTGACACGGTGCCGTTGCCAGTTCACACCTTGTCAGACATTGGTGCCGTAGCCAGGGTGGAACGGAGCTTCATCTTGGACAATGGGCAGCTGCTGGTTTATAGAGACCACCACCCCAATGCCAAGGTCAAGGCAATGCACTGCGCCCGCATGTGGCAACCGAAAACTTGCCATCCCTTTTGCTGAATGAAAAACATGACGCAATCACTACGTCACTTCGTCACTTCGTCACTACGTCACGTTCAGAACTTCTTTCCAAACACTTCTTTAAAAAAATGCACAGCATGACACCTTGGTTCATTGCACGATTTTCTGTATCAAATTTCAGCATCCTCAGGATGTTGCTTGCGAGGCAATGTACGAGCTAAAGGATGCCACCTGTTTCTACGAAGATAGAAACTCCGCATCTTTGCCCAAATGGATGGAAGGCACGGTGGAAACAGTGGGTTGAGCAAGAGGATTTCCGAAATCATCCGACATATCAATCCAAAATATTTGGTATTCAAAGAAGGTGGAGTTGGATTAGGCCTTGCTTTTGCCCGTCAACCACCCAACCTAACCATATACTGGGTTCATGTGGTTTCTTGTCTCGTCTCCCCTGAAGTTGTCCCAGGTCGGTGTGCCATGGGGAAGTGTGTATAAAAGATATAGTATATTATTATTCCATTGGATCATTGCTTATTGTAAGACCACAAAACCAACATGAACCTACCATTTGTAGTCATAAACCTTCTTATTGTTTGTTTGTCCATTGCAGGGCACACAACGCAGGGGTACACTAGGTCAGGGATGCTTTGCACGACTTATTTGGCACTAGGTGCCAACCAGTCTGTGCCCGCTTAAATTTCTCACCGCCGCCTTGTTTGCCAAGCTTGTGCATCCCTTTGTCTCCCCTCTGTCTCCCTTACTCGCCTTTTGTCTCCTCTTCTGTCTCCTTGCTCTTGCCTGCAGCTGCTGCTTGGCTTGGTTTCCTCTTCCGCTCCACCGCTGAAAGCTCTTGAGTTTCACTGTCCTGCAAAGAATGCGAAAGCGTGTGGCTACCAAAGACTTTGTTAGGAGACTTAGGGGGTCAGCCTCCCAAAATTTGATTTCGGACATCGTTCGCACCTCGTTCCGACCTTGTTAAAATTGCAGCCAGTCAAAACCCAGCCCGGAGAGGTTTTGGAAAGGCTTTGCAATGGTCTGCTGCTTGGTTTGCTGCTGCTGCTGCTGTTGTTGCTTGTGCTGCTGCTTCTGGGCAAGGCGCGGTTTTTGGGCAGAGAACCAAGAGATTTGTGAAAGGGCTGGAAGCTGTGCGGAAGAAACCAAAAGCACAAGAAGATGACCTGAAAAAAGAAAGTCGATCCGATCAGCGGTGTGCCATGGGGAAGTGGATGAAAGGGTTGATTGGCATGAAGTAGAATTTATCATATAAACCATAGGAATGTAACGTCGATCACATCCAAGTTTGTATGTTGGAAATGCCATGAAACTTGGTGTGCCATGCGGAGGATGATCGTTCTGACTGTTCAAACAGGCGGAAGATCCATGTCCAGAGTGGTGACAAGAAAATGGGGCGTGTGCTGCAGAATTGGTTACTTTTCTCATTTGGATGGAAGGCAGCTGTTTTGCTGTCAATGCGTGTGTGCCAATGGCGGTTGCCCACTTTCAACCTGGTTTTATCACCAAAGGAGATGGTATTTAGTATTAATTATGTGGTTCGCAATGGCACGGACACATTTTACATATTTTGTTTGCCAAACGAACGATGGTGTGGTACCAGTGTGCCAAAGGATTTGGTCCCTGGGGTGACTTCCGGATGGCCTTGGGCAACCCTGTGTGCCATTGGGATGGGGTAACTTCTGGGTGCGTGGGGTAAGAAACAACGTCCGCCTAGTACCTAGAATTTTTGTGGGCACATGGTTGGATATGAGGGCAGAAGAGAGGATATAGGCGAGGCCATACCGGTATATACAAGTACATAAAAACATATCATTTCTTTGAGTACATGGTAATCGATCTCATAGGTCCGTGTAAGGAATTTTAATTGCGAAAGCCGTTCATGTTATGTTGGAAACCCTCGCGAAAGTTTTTGTCGAGTTCGCGACAGAAAAAATATTTCGCGAAAGTTGGATATTATGAGTCGTTATCATTGTATGCATTACAGCTTGTTAAGGGCTACCACCTCCTGCCGACCGGGGTCCGGCAGGAGAATGGCACTGCTCCATAGGTAGCAGCCAAGCTTCCGAAGGTGAGCCAAATACCATGGTCTTGAAGCACCTCCTTGCACCTGCCGCTGGTACTGCCTAACGTTGCTTTCTGAAGTCTCAAGAAGCAAGCTCCAAATGCAGCAGCCAAGCTTCCAAAAGTGAGGCTTTGCGAGAGCCAAGCACCAAGGCCCCTGGTGTTGCTTTTCCTCTGATGCGCCCCCTGCTGATGGCCGGGGTCTGCGGATAGGGATATTTTCGCGAAAGTTCCGCGAAAGTTCTGCGAAAGAGTGGGCGAAAGTCAAAGTGTATTTTTGAAGGGAGTGGCCCAGTAAGCCTTCCAAAAAATTGCCTAATCAGCAACAACTTGCCCTGAGAAGGGGACTCCGTGATGCTAGCTACATGTTTACAAGGCTGTGAAGAAGTTATCCGGGATAATTTTGTGTATTTGGCAGGTGATGAATGAATCTTCATAAGAGGAGTTGTTGCTCAACATGCGTTCCGCGAAAGATAAGCATGGAGTTCGCGAAAGATTCGCGAAAGAAAACAAATTATTCGCGAAGAATGGCCGTTCCCGGAAAGAGGAATTTTGATCAACAACCACATACTTTTCAACAAATGATGTTATTCCTAGAAAAACAATCTGATTTTCATAAGGTTAGGCTGGGTGGTTGATGGGCATAAGCGGGTCCCAATCTAACTGGTGGAAATTGGAGGAGACTGGACGGCTCCCCGCCTGATCTAGCTTTCAACGTGTGACATCACCACGCCTGCTGTCTCGCCTTAATATTGCTGTGTGGGCGACAAAGTCGAATTGCAACTTATCCTCTTCGCTGTGTGTTGAGAGGATACAGCAAGCGGCTCCGCGTCATTTGCGGCGAGAGAGAGAAACAGAGAAAGTCGCCGAGCGGGGCCCAGACAGTCACAGCGGAAACAGCACAGCAAAGTAAGGTCACTAAGGTTGATAGAAGTTGAGGTTGAACTGTTTTTCAGCAGAAAACAGTGCAGTGCAGACAGCCTTGCTTGTTTTTTTTGGTTGAAACACTACAGGTTGCAAGATGTAGGAATTCACGAGACTTGAGCTCTAGCGTTTTGCTGTTGTAACTTGTAACCAGTTCTTCAGCTCTTTGAGGCCTTTCAATCCTGCTACCATTGCTAGTAATATCATTCTGTATTGCTATCAGATTTGCCAATCCCATGACAGATCTGAGGTTGTTCTTGTATTCGAAAGATGATGCCAAGATCCACCGATGGAAGCGTGCCTTTACATTGGCAAAGGCGCGGGCAACACCGGCGGCATCGGCGGCATGGGCGGCACGGGTCAGGTTTTGACGCCTGGTGTTTAGAGCGCAGCTGTCGATGACGAAAGATGACCAAATCATTGACAGACCGAATGTCATGTGAGTCATCTGTCATATGACAGACCAAATGGTTTTGCAAATGAATGCAAAGTGCACAAAATTTGACGCTACGCAGACCTCATTGCTTTTGATGCTAATGTTTTCAATCTTCTCATGCTGCGAGTAAATTCAGTCCAATGAGTCCAATGTCTAACAATGCGACATGTTGCGAGTATATAAGGTTCTCTGCTCAGGTTCTTGTCTCTGAGAACGACCGCAGGGCGCTGAAAGTGTCGGGCCCTTGGAATAGATTTGTAGCCGTAGCTCAAACAATGAGCACCAGCAAGTCTCCAATACAGTAGCTGGATTTACATATGAACACAGAAATGATTCTTTGGTCAGACATTCTTGCACATATTGGATAAGGATTGTGTTCTGCTTGTCGCTGTATCCCCGCTGCAGTCTTGCTGTGGCACGCAGAGGAAGCAAACAATACAAGACAGGAACTGGCATCTTAGCTCTCCCAGCGCTCCCAGTGCAGGAGAGGGATCAAAAAAAAAACAAATAAGGATCAAAAAAAACAAATAGGGATCAAAAAAACAAATTTGAAAACTAAAGGAGAAGGAAGGAAGGAAGGAAGGAAGGAAGGACGGAAGGGAGGGAGGGAGGGAGGAAGGAAGGAAGAAGGGAAGGGGGAAGGAGGGGAAGGGATGGGATTGAAGGGGAGGGTGAATTAAAAATTTTGCCTTCCACAGGTCCCTCTAACGCCTAACCTCAATCATAAAGTAACCTTCTCTTGAAAAATGAAAGGAAAGCTTCCTTCTCTTGACCCCCTCCGCCCGCTTCTTTTTTTTTGGCCTTCTCCCCTTGCTACCTACTATTCTTTTTTTTCCCCAAGAATCATCGTTGTTTATTTGGGTTCATTTAATCTTGATTGATATCCATTGCGACTTGTGCCATATGTACTTCTTTCTTGGTACGCATTGCGGGGGGAGGCGCTGCGCCCTTGTTTTTGTTTCGACCTAATACCTACATAGGTACATGCATGAGTATTGAGCACATTTATATGCGCCCTTCAAGGCTCAAGAGGTATATAGAGTAACCCTGTAGACAAGCACGGACCGGCAACAGGCTGAGTAAAACAAGTGCTGTCATTGGGGAAGACGCCTTAGCTGATCTTGAAGTAGACGCTAGGGCCCCTCTTCAAGTGGTAGCGGAGCAGTGATCCCTCATTGAGGGTGAGCTCCAGGTAGAGCCCGAGCAATGGCAAGCCATGGCTATGATGATGATGACTTCGACATTGTCGATGCAAATGAATGGAACCAATATGACTCTTATGCAATGAGAAGAGCACCCCAGCAGACACAGATTCACATGACGCAACAAATGACCACAAAGGTAGCTCCAGCATATGATGGGAGAACCAGCTTCTTTGCTTTCGAAGATGCAATTGATGACTGGTGTGACATTACGGAGTTAGAACCAGAGAAACGTGGTCCAGCATTGCGCAATAGACTGGAAGGAGATGCTCAACAATACAAGAGACTATTGGATAGAGAAATGCTCAGGGATCCCTATGAAGGAGTAGCGTATTTCAAAAGATTTCTACGACCTCATTTCATCAAAGGTGCCCAGAACGTGTTCTTATACCGTTTCATGCAGTTCATGAAGTTCAACAGAGGAACCATGGATCTTCAGAAGTGGATGACTAGATTTCAACTCACTGGCAATAGACTCATTGAGTCTTGGATGGATTTACTTCCAGAAGCTACAGTGACTAGTCCTGAAGCAGTCCTGTTTGTTACACAAAAACGTCAAGAACATGATCGAGATCAACAAGAAAGAGCTGATGTAGCAGCAGCCTCAGGAACACCCCATGTACCTGTTCCTTGGTCAGATGAACTGGCATTAGTGGCATTCAGACAGTACAATGAGCAGCGTAGACAAGTACAAAGACAAGCATTCCCACTGGGTGAAAATTTGCTAGCATTGATTTTTGTAAGTCTAGCTGACCTGAGTCAAGATCAGAGAAATACACTCACAAGTATCATGACACATCGTGGACGAACCCTCGATCAATACAACATTCAAGAACTACGTGACCTGTTTTTGGAAATGTTTTGCACTACCAAAACAGCAGTTGACAATCCATTGATGCAACCCTCTGGCATGGCACAGAGAAGATCTTTCCTCGTACTGGATGAAGGTGAATTAGAAGGAACCGACGGCTATTGGGCCGAAGATGAAGAAGACGGCGCAGAAGGATTCCTGGATGCTTTAGAAGATGTTTTCTGGGTTTATGATGACGCCAACTTCACATGGTATCAGAGAAGGTTCCAAGGCAAATACATCAGACGAGGCAAAGGTAAAGGAAAGAGAAAAGGAAAAGGAAAAGGCAGAGGAGGACGAAGGTTCTTCAGATCAAGAAAAGGAAAAGGCCGAGGAAAAGGAAGAAGGAAAGGCCGTGCTCACATGGTGAGTGAAGAAGGTTATGAAGAAGATTGGCAAGAAGAAGAATGGAATGAAAACTATGACGGCTATTGGGCCGATGATCAAACCTGGAATGAAGGCTATTGGGCCTATGATGATTCATACTACATGGATGAGTATGGATACTTCCAGAGGAAAGGAAAAGGAAAAGGAAAAGGAAAGAAAGGCAAGAAAGGCAAGGATGATGATGGCAAAGGAGGAAAGCCAGGAGATGGAAAAGGCAAGTCGAACTATGTTCAACCTCAGACCACATCAGTTCCTGCCATACAGAATCAACAAACCCAACAAGCTCATTATTCTTCTGCTGCATCAAGTTCTGGTCATGGTTTCTTTGCATTTGGAAGAACTGACCCATTACGTGTTGATGTTGCAGAGACAGAGCCAGCACGTGTTGATGTTTTGACATCCACGTATGAACAACAAGAAGTACAACGACGCACTCGTCGTGGAGGACAGAACCAACGTGATGCAACAGCACATCAAAACAGGAGAGAAATGAAGAGATTCCCTGTTCTGGTTGGAGAAGTTGATGCCCTTCGACAAGGTGTACGACAACGTCCAGCTAGAGTGCCCAGGCAAGTTGGTCTTCAAGAAGGTGAGGCTTCATGGAAGCCATTGGCAAAAGGCACATCATTGTTTTCATATGGATGCTCTACAGAGATAGAGGAACCATCACAGCAGAGTGCTTTTTCATTTCATACTGTACAGACTGATCTGGCATGTGAGAATGGACTAGCTTTTCACACAGAAAATTCTGCACCACCAACTGTGTGTATTCTGGATCTTGGATGCACAAGAGCTATGGGCTCTCGTCGAGCAGTTGAAGCATTTTGCAGATATGTTGACTCACATCCCAACAGTGGACTCTGGTATGAAATTCAGCCAACAAGTTCAAGATTCTTCTTTGCAAATTCACAACAATCCAAATGTACTGAGAAGCTCGTGATATTCGTGTATGATCATGGATGGAACACTCAGTTTACAGAATTCGACATTGTCGAAGAAGGTGATGTCCCATTGTTGATGTCACTTCCACAGATGAGAAATCTTGGATTTCAATTTGAACTTACTCCAGAGAAGGCTTATTTGTCCTGTGCACGTATTGGCATGAGGAAAATGGTTTTGAGAACAGCCATTAGTACTCATCTCATTCTCGACCTACAAGATGTAGCATGGTACATGAGTCAGGTTCATTTCAAGACTCCTCAAGTCAAGAGTTTCTTTTCACAACACGATCACTTTGAGTACAGCCAGATTGCTGTCAAACAAGATGATCATGAAGAAGAAGCCTTGGTGACTGGTGACTATTGGCAAGTAGATCCACTACGTCGTGAACTCATCAGGCACCACAAGGACAAGAGAATGAACTTACATGAGATGACTCGATCAGAGAAAACTCCAATTCCAAAAGAACAACTTCTTGATGAGAGAGAGACACACATGGAATTCCAGAAGAGCAAGAAGAAGGTTCTTCACAAGGACAACTGGCGCGCAGAGAAGAAGAGGTTTTCTGAACAGAGTGAAGAGTTCTGGAAAGGCAAGACCATCTACAAGATCAAGGAGGACTACGTGATCCCAGATGACATTGTCAGAAGTGACATTGATCGTGCAAAGCCCTTTCGTGGAAACATTGATGATCTTTTTCACCCTGAGTCAGCCTCTTCAGCGCCATCAGGTGTACAGAAGAAGAAGCCAAGCTCCTTAAAGAAGGAGGAAGGCAAACCGATTTCGAAGGGACCAAGCTCGAAAAAGATTGAGGTAGGTCCACCTGCAGCCAAGAGACACGTAGGTAAGCAGAAACCTCATGTTGTCGATGACTCTCAATCAGGTTCATCAAGAAAGAAAGTTGTTGTCTCCTATCCCAAGCTTGATGAGGAAGATGAACTTGACATAAGAGCTAGGGAGTTAGGTTTGGACAAAATTGATTCATATGAACCTCAAGTCATTGAACCAAAACCTTCTGCACCTGCGCGCAACCGTGGTAAGCAAGATTCAGAAAGTCAAGTTGAGAAACTAGGTAGTGATGCTCTTGAGCCTAGGCGAGTTTCGATTCCACTGCCTGGTAGTGAAGTGCAAGCCATGACACCAGCATACAGAAAGATGCTCAGGAAACTGGAGGATAGTGTGGAACTTTACAAACTTCGCATCAAACACTATCACATGTCTCCTACTCAATTCAGACGAAGGACTTCCATGTTGGGACTTCCTGACTCTGTCTATGAGAAGTATGAAGAAATGTACAACAAGTGTCGTGTGTGTAGTACTTCAATTGCACCACCGCCGCGAGCCAGAATTTCAGGCATACGATCCACCAACTTTGGAGATGTTATCTTTGTTGGTCATGCTGAAATTCAGTTGAGGAAGAACAAGTACATGGTGTTGCTTGTTCTTGATGGTGCAACCAACTTACTTTGGGCTACGGCACAAAACTCACTGAACAACAAGGAGACCATTCAGGCTCTAAGGTTGTGGACTGATGAACACAATTGTATGCCGAAAGCCATCGTAGGTGATGAAGCATTTTTCCAAGAAGACTTTCTGACTTATTACCGAACTCATGGTATCAAGGAATGTCCCTGTGGTTCAAGAACCCCATGGCCTAACAGAGCTGAATCAGCTGTCAGACTTTTCAAACGACAATGGCAAATCATGTCCAAGAACCTTGAAGATGATAGGTTCAAAGGAATTACCATCAGAGAAGCTGTGAAGCGTACTGTTTGGGCCAGAAACACTCAACTCACTGTTAGTGGTTATTCTCCTTTGGAAATTGCCACTGGTAGAAGACCACCAGATCTTCTGGAC